TACTGTCGCCGTCGCCGTCTCGTCGCCGCCCGTCGTCTGGGCCTCGTCTTCGGTCTGGCGGCTAATTATGGTGTCGCCGTCGCCTTCCCGTCACGGCCCCGCCGCCGCCGTTGGATTGCACCACGTAGACTGCAAGGCGAACATTTACCGCCTGCGGCGCGCTTTCTGATCTTTCACAACAGAGATTGCACCACATAGACTGCATAACATATACATATTGCAGAGCCACCCATAATGCATCATATGGATTGCACAACATCGATTGTACCACAAATGTTGCACAACATATCTTGGACAACCACATCTGTGGCAACCATTCCCCAAACGCTGCTTGCACTTAGAGGTTCTTACTTCTGATTGAAAGGACCGGGCCTGTGTGTCGGTCTGGTGGCTCCGTGCCGGCCGTCGCCGCACCGTGGCCGCCTCGTCGCCGCCCGTCGCTTGGGCTTGTGCGTCGGTCTCGGCTCCGTGCCGGCCGTGGCCGCCCCGCCGCCGCCCCGTCGCCGCCGCCCCGTCGCCGCCGCCCCGTCGCCACTTCGTCGCCGCCTTGTCGCCGCCCGTCGCCGCAGTCGGATTGCACCACGTATCTTGTACGGAAATTGTGCCTGCGGCGCCTTGTCTGATCGCTCACAACACAAAGTGCACCACATACATTGCAAACATGGAGGGCACCACATAGATTGCACCGTATCTATTCGGCAAGTATATATTTTGCATCCTCACCTTAAGAATTGAACAACATAGATTGCACCACGTATGCAGCACAACATACATTGCCCACCCACGTGGATCGCAAAACATATGTAGCACACTATAGATGCCACTACATATATTTTCCTGTTCTAAAAGAAGAATATGATCTACCCCGTCGGAATTCACGGCCCCCTTTTACGCATTTTTTGAATTTACGTCTGACTTGGGCCCATCCTCCATCCTGAGTATGAGTTCGTGCCATCCCAACTAAAGCGGTATCTCCCCTCATCCTCTGGAAGAAAAAGATGCGCGCGCACTCGTTTATCACAAACCCATTTTCCCTACCTAGGCTCTGCCTAGAAGGGGTCTTACCCTGTGAGCTTAAAGGGGCCGGGCAGTGGAACACGCCCTGGGCGGTTCCCCCAGGATCCGCCCCGCGGTTCCCCCAGTTGCGTCCCCTTAGCTTAGCGTTGCTTATTTCATCTTAGCTTAGCTTATTTCATCATAGCTTAGCTTAGCTTCATTAGCGTGGGTGTAATTCCCTACCTAGGCTCTGCCTAGAGGGTTAGCTTAGCTTAGCTTAGTTTAGCTTAGCTTAGCATAGCGCAGCGCTGCATTATCATATCATATCATAGCATGACATAGCGAATCATATCATAGCAAAGCATAGCATAGCATAGCACAGCATATCATATCATAGCATAGCATAGCATATCACATCATATCATAACATAACATAGCGCAGCTGATCATAACATGGCATAGCTTAGCATATCACAGCGCAGCATTACATATCACAGCTTAGCATAGCATAGCATAGCATAGCATAGCATAGCATAGCATAGCATAGCATAGCATAGCATAGCATAGCGCAGTATAGCATAGCATAGCATCGCATAGCATAGCATAGCATAGCGCAGCATAACATGGCATAACATAGCATAGCATAGCAACTAATGCTGCTTTCCTAGGGGCTCCAACTTCTAGGTAGGGTCGCACTGGGGTAATTTTATTTAAAACACATTTTGCAAAACTCTTGGACGAAGTGCACGCGCGCGTGGTCGCGCTCGCATGCCGAAATTCCTCAACAACTTTTGTCAGTTTCGTATGGAGTTCAATACCGACCGCCCCGAAAACATTTAACACAACACATGGCTTTGCAATACGAATTTTCAAAACATCAAGTCTGCGCTCTCGCTCTCTCTCCGGTTCTTGAAAAATCCAAGGGCTACCACGCGGGTCTCTCGCGCGCGTGTGTCGAAATCGTTGAAAGAGCGCGTTCCGTGGTCGCTTGGAGGGGGGGGCGGGGTTTGGAACTGGACCCCCCTCCCCCCCCCTGATGGAGGGCGGGGGGGTTCGACCCCCCCCCCCTTCCCTCCCTCTCCTCTCTCCTCAGGCCGGCGCCTACGTCGGCGGCGGCTGGCGGCGGCGGCGGCGGGGACGACGACTTCCTTTTCTGGGCCGGCGCCGGCGCCTGCGGCGGCGGGCGGCGGCGGCGGGGAGCGTCGACGAGGACGACGGTGGTGGTGGTAGTGGTGGGTTGTGGTGGTGGTGGTGGCGGTGGTGGTGGTTGTTGTGGTGGTGGTGTGGTGGTTTGTTGTGGTGGTGGTGGGTTGTTGTGGTGGTGGTGGTTGTTGTGGTGAGTGGTGGTGGTGGTGGTGGTGATGGCTTGGTGGTGTTGTGGTGGTGGTTTGTGGTGGTGGTGGTGGTGGGTTGTGGCGGTGGTGTTGGTTTGGTGGTGGTGTGGTGGTGGTTTGTGGTCGTGGTGGTGGTGGTTTGGTGGTGGCAGTGGAATGTGGAGGTGGTGTTGGTGGTGGTGATGGTGGCGGTGGTGGCGGTGGTGGTGGTGGTGGTGGTGTGGTGGTTTGTGGTGGTGGTGGTGCGTTGTGCTGCTGGTAGTGGTGGTGGTTGTGGCGGTTGTGGTGGTGGTGGTGTGGTAGATTGTGGTGGTGGTGGTAGTGGTGGTGGGTTTTTGTGGTGGTAATGGTGGTGATGGTGAGTTGTGGTGGTGGTGGTGGTAGTGGTAGTGGTGGTGGCTGTGGTGGTGGTGGTTGTGTGGTGGGTTGCTGGTGGTGGTGGTGGGTTGAGGCATTGGTGGTGGTTGTGGTGGTGGTGGTGGTGGTAGTGGTGGTAATCGTCGCTGCGTCCCCGCCGGCGCCGGAGCAGGCGCCGGGGGGGGGGTTAGAACCCTGCCCCCCCCCCCCCTTGGGCTGCCTCTGGTCATCGTCGGTGCGTGCCCGCCGTCAGCGCTGCTGGCGGCCGCCAGCGCCGGCGCCAGCGCTGGCGCCAAAGGGGGGGGAGGTTCGGGAGGGGAGGGGTTTGATGGGGGAGGGGAGTCCCCCTGGTTTTGATCGACGGCGCCGAGTGTTGGGGGGGGGCACCCCCCTGTTCGAAACGCGTCGCCGAATGTTCCCAAGGCGAGCGCCCGTGAAACGCGCTCTCTAAGATCCTTCGAACGTCTTTGCGCGCGTGCTGTCGCAACAATCCCTTGCAACATGTGGGACGAAGTGCGCGCGCTCGCGTTGTCGCGCGCGCACGCCGAAATCCTTCAAACAACCTTGGGGGTTCGAAAGGATTTCCAAATCAAATGTCCGACAACAAATCAAACTCATGTATGAATTTGCCACATCAGTTTAGGAGAAAGCATGCGCTCGCGCTTTTGCGAACTCTTAAGGCAGCCATGGTTTTCAAAAAAATCATCACGTTCGGCCAAGCGGGCCTCCCGCGCCGCATGGCCGCATGTCGGAATCATTCGAACGCTCTTGCGAGCGTGCGGGGGGTGGGGCGATCCGTGTCAAATTATACTTTCTTGGCCACTCTCGCGCGTCGGCCGCGGGCGCATGTCGAGCTCCTTGCAAAACCATCATCACCGACGCGAGGACGCCGTCATTGTCGTCGGCATGATCAGCATCGGCTCCGTCACTGGCCTTGCCGTCGTCGTTGTCACCATCGTCACCAGCACCGCTACCATCATCGTCGTGTCTACCGTTGTCGACGTTGCCATGATACCGCTCCCGCCCACATCGCCGAGTCGCATTGCAGTGCCCGCTGGGAAGCGCCCAACGGTCAGCGCCACCGCGGCCGAGTCGGTAGCGCCAAACTAGTTTGCCGCCGCGCGCGCGATCATGGCGCGGAATCTGATGATGATGATGACGATGGTGACGACGACGATGATGATGACGATGATGATGGGGTCCGAGGGCGGCGGGGAGTTGGATCGTGTTTGTGGTGGCGGTGGTTGTGAGTCTGATGATGATGATGGTGATGATGATGGTGATGATGCAGGTGGTGAGAATGGTGGTGAGGAGGATGATGATGCGACTGCAAGCCGTCCGCGCCCGTGGAAACGCGAGAGGCACGCATTTGTGTATCTCCCTTTCCATATACAGATACAAGTGGCACTTCCCAGTGCTCATGCAACAACAAATCCAGGAAAGGTCACCGACGGGGGATACCACAGCTTGCGAACAGACGCAATGTCGAGAATCACCCCCCGCGCGCATGACGAAACAGCAGTGACTATAGCAACGCTGGAAAACAGCAGTGGGAGCCAATGGGCGCCCCGTGCGATTTTCGATCAGTCACGCGCAGTACCAGTGAAGGCCGTCATATTCTTAAATGTCTGATCTTACTTGTCCGTAAGCATAAACCATTTCACCATGGAACAACCAATTGTTCCCGCACACGTATGCGCACAATCAGTGGAACTTTCTGTGTTCTTGACCGCTTCGTACTGAGCGGTTGAGGGTTCATTGTTTTTTGCACCCTGGTGTTGCGATCTACGTGAAGGGCGCTTCCGGCTTTCAAGGGGGCTGAGGGTATTTTCAAGCGGCCAAGAAGAGCAGAGAAAGCTTCAGCTAATCGCCGCTGAGCGTATATCAGTGAAGCGTACACGCACGCACACACATACATTTATGTATACATTTGTATATATGTGTATATACATACACATGCACGTTATTATCCATACGTATATACACGTATATGTTTGTACATGTGAACCCACATGTATGTCTTTACACATATATATATATATATATATATATATATGCATATGGTAGTTTTTGCAACTGAATGCTGAGCGGAAGCGGGGAACCGGACGAAACCTTGTAAAGTACAGTCGTCTGGGAGCAACGCAGAAACCGACCATTTTCGACTGAAAAGGGTCGGTTTTTCTGCCGGCGAGAACACTACAGACGTCATTGGCTTGCATACGTACTCATATTTGTGCTCAAAGTTTTGTGGGGGCCCCGGCTCCCATGGAGGCTCTGCTCCTCGAGATTACCCGGGGCATCTCAACCGCCCTCGCCGTGCGGTCTTCGGCGGTCCCCTGTCCAGACTGCACCTGCAATTGCGCGCCTGCGCTTGCCTGCTCAGAGGGCGCGCTCCCGCGGGAGTTCGGGCAGGAGACGGGCTGGGAGTGGCCCGGGCCCTGGGCCTGCTTCTCCTTGATCGGCCTCGGCGCGGTTGCCGGGGCCTCGGCGGTGCTGCTGGCACAGCGCTGGCTGGCGCCTGCCCCCGCAGCGGCGCCGGCACGGGCAGCGGGCCCGGCCGAGCTCGCGGACCCCTCGTCCGCCCGAGCGGACTTGCTGCAGGAGGCGCGCGCGCAGCTGGCGGAGGTTGCAGCACGCCGCGCCGCGGCCCGCCAGGCCTGACGCCATGGCGGCTCCACACCAGCTCATCGCGGCGGGCTTGGCCGAGGGCGACTTCCTGGCTATCCGATACAGGGTGGGTGGCCGGCGCCTTTGGCACCGCCGCCCGGTAGTGGCGCTCGTGCCCGGCGGGACCACCGTTGCGGGCATCATGACTCCCGACCTCGATGAGTACGACGAGGACGTGGCCGACCAGGCGAATATCGCAGAGTGGACGATGCTCCCGCTTGGCACGATCGGGCCTGCTGCTCCGGCTATGGGTAACGACGACGTCTACGACTTCAGGCACATCCCGTTGCAGTCCGCGGTGGATGCAGCTCGAACCGCAGCATACGCGAGAAGGGGGGCGGTGCCGGTCGGGCCCATCGTGGTCAACCTCGCCGGGCGCGCGGGGGCCGGCGCTCCTGTGGGCGCTGCACCCCCTGCGGCTGGCGGCGCGGCGGCTGCGGCGGCTGGGGGCCCTGGCGGCGGCGGCGGCCTCGCGGGGCTGGTGGCGGCCCTTGGCGGCCCGGCGGGCGGCCCGGCCGTTGCGGCGGCCGCCCCAGCGGCCCTGGTGCCCGTGGCAGCGCCCGCCGCCCCTGCCGCCGGTGCGGGCGCCCCGCCAGCCGGGCCTGGGGCCGCGGCGGCCATCCTTGGCGCGCCCGTCGCGCCCGCCGCCCTGGCAGCGCCCGGCGCGCCCGCGGCCGCGGCTGCAGCTCCCGCGGCGGGCGCCCCGGCGGCCCCGGCTGTGGCTGGACCTGGCGGCGACGCCCGGATCTTCGGCGTGGTGGTCGATGCGCGCGGGGTCCGTCATGTGGACTTCCGCACCGCAGTCACCCGGATGACCGAGCTCCCCTGGCCAGACTGGCCCGTGCGAGGGCCGCGCACGTTGCGGTGGGTGGCAGAGTTCATGGCGCAGCGGAGCGGCACGCCGACGGCGCATCATCAGAGGTGGCTGGCGGAGACGGGCCTTGACCCCGCCGATCCAGGAGTGGAGATCCACCAGACGGGCTGCTTCGTCCTCGAGACGGCCATTACCTACGACCAGGAACACGCCACGAACCTCGCCCACCTCGAGCTCGTCGCCCGCTCGATCCAGGTGCAGGAAGAGAAGTACCGGTTTCTCGTTGAGCCCGACGATGCCTCGGCTGCTGACAGGTCGACCATGATGGGGGCGTCGCAGCTCGCGGGCTCTGCGTGTGTCTGCCCCGCCCTTCGCGACTATCTCGCATCGGAGTTGCAGAAAGAGATGGCAGTTGCGAAGGAGCGGAGGAAGGCGCGCGAGGAGCGCGCCCTCGCCGGCGGCCAGCCTGGCGGCGGGCGCGGAGGGGGCGGCAGGGGCCGCGGCGGCCGGCGGGGCAGAGGCTCCGGTGCCGCAGGCGGCGATGCCTAGCTTGCCGGAGGGCGGTCGGCTTGGCCCGCCGCCGCCCTCGCTCCTCCAGGCCTCCGCGGGCGCCAACAGCGCTGCCCGCACTTCGGGCGAGGCCGGGCCCCCTTCGCGTGAAGACGGTCGCCAGCGCAACCTCTTCCCGCTGCCGCAGCTCACAGCAGCCGACGCGGCGCCTGGCCTCTCTCGCACCCGGCGGCGCGCTCGGGCGGGCCACGCCCTCGGGCGCGCGCTCGACCGGGCCAGCGCTGCCGTGCATGCACTGAATTACTTATACGGTGACAAGTCCTCGCCCGAGTCGGCCGTTCCGACAGCTGGGCAGCGCTGCGCCGTCGGTCACATCTGGGACACCATTGCCGCCCTCGGCCCCGAGCCGGACGAGTGCCGCGACGACGTGTCCGACCCCAACGGGGCCCTCCGGGAGCTCCTTGCTGGGCCCGCGCTGTACCCTGACGGCAGCGGGCCCACCACTCCCTACGTGCCAGACCTCGTCTCTTGGCCCGATGTGTCCCAGCCCCCAGCGCCGCTCCTTGGGCTGCTTGGAGAGCGGGGCGCCGCCGCGCTGCAGGAGTGGAGGTGCCATATGCTTCGAGATGCGGAGGAGGCGCGTCAGCTTGGCTGGGGCTTGTCCGCGCGGGCCCTGCACGGACCCCGCTCTCGTTCAGTCGCCCGCAGAGTATGCCGAGTTCCTGGGCGCGATGGCTGAGCGCCACATGCTCACCTTGCCTCCCGCCCGGGGGCGGCGGGGCAACATGGGAATATTTTTTCACTTAAGTAGAATGGGAAGTTGAGGGCCATCTTCGACACGCGGGTGGCCAACTGCTCGTTCATCGAAGCCCCGAGGATCCAGCTGCCGTCTGCCTCGGCCTGGGGCCGCCTCGAGGCTGGCGACGTTCGCCTCAGCATCGGCTCCGCCGACCTGGACGTCGCTTTCTACCACGTGCAGGTGCCTGCTGGGATGGAGGAGTTCTTCACCTTGCCTCCGATCCCTGCAAAGTATTTGATGCCCTTCGGATGCGTGGAGGCCGGCACGAGGGGTGACGACCTCCTGCTCCCGCAAGTGGCGGTGCTCCCGATGGGCTTCAGCTGGGCCCTGCACCTGTGCCAGGCGGTGCTGCAGACATCCCTGTGCCGAGCCGGCTTCTCGCCCGAGAACCTGATCCTTGACGGCCATAGCGGCTGCCAGCTCTCTGGCGACCCATCCACGGTCGTGGGCGCCGGCTACGTGGACAACTACTTCGTCCTTGGCGGCTCCCCAAAGCACGTGAGCGAGCAGCTGCAGGCTATCACCGACGACCTCCAACGGCATGGGCTCGCAGTTCATGACGTCGAGGAGCCCCCCCCCAGGACTGCGACTTCCTGGGGCTGTCGCTGCGCGAGGGGCGCTGGCTCAGCCGTCGGACTCGCAACATCTGGCGCCTCCGCGCTGCCATCCGCGGCGCCCTGCGCCGCCAGCTGATCAGCGGGTTCCTGTTGCGGGTGCTCACCGGCCACATCACGTGGGCCCTTCTTCTTCGACGAGAGACGCTGTGCGTGCTGGGGGCGACCTACGCATTCATTCAGGCCACCGGGCCCACGGCGGCGCCCCTGTGGCCTGCGGCGCGACAGGAGCTCCAGCTAATTCACGACCTGCTGCCCCTTTGCACGGCCGACCTGGGCGCCCCCTGGCACGGGCGCGTCGCGTGTACAGACGCCTCTCCGTGGGGACTGGGTGTCGTTGCTCGCCGCGCCCCAAAGGACCTCGTGGGCGCCACAGGCCGAGTTGCTGAAAAGTGGAGGTATAAAGTCGAGGGAGGAGCGCAGGCGAGAGCTCGCACTGTAGGAGTGTCGGAGGAGACTGACGCCGCCGCCGACCTCGGCTACCCCCTCTCGTTCGACAGCTCGGACAACGCGAACGTCGGTCCCGGGGGGAAGGGGGCGCAGGACGAGCTGGGGCGTTCGGTGCTCGATCCTCGCCCGCCCGTCGACTTCGAGGAGGTCCCCGCGCATTTCATGCGGGAGTCGGCCTGGGGCTCGGTCGCCGCGGTCTTCGTCGACGGTCAGGCCAACATCTTGGCCTTGGAGGGGGAGGCTCTCGTTCTTGGGTATCGCCATCTGTGACGGTCCACGTCTTCGTTCGGGTCCCGGTTCCTCGTCTTCTCCGACAACCTGCCCTTGGCCCTGTCGGTCGGGAAGGGCCGGGCTCGCAGCAGGCACCTCCAGAGCACCCTTCGCAAGATCTGCGCGCTCTCCGTGGCCACTGGCTCAACCCTGTCTGTCAGGTGGACCCCGTCGGAGGCGAATCCCGCCGACGGGCACAGTCGCGGGCGCGCTGGCTGGTTCTCCGGCAATCGGCCGGCGCCGGCACTGCCGGGCGTGGGGCTGCTGGATCACGCGGCTGCACTGGTTGCTAGCGCTCCTCCTCCGGGCCGCGCTGGCTGGGAGGAAGCAGGCGGCTCCGACGGCGTCGGCGCTGAGGGGCGAGCGAGCCCGCCGCGCGCAGGAGCTTGCAGCTGCTGCGGCGCCGGTCCTGGGGCTCTCGCTGCTGGAGCGGCTGGCGGCGCGGCCCTCGACCGAGAAGCTCTACCGGGGGGCGCTGTCGGCCTTCGCGAGCTTCTGCGCAAGGCACTGCCTGGACTGGACGGACCATGCCAGCCTCGACTCGGTCCTCGTGCAGTACATGGACAGCGAGTTCCTCCTCGGCGGCGGCGGGAACAATGGGAACGTGCTCCTGGCGGCGGTCGCCCACTTTCTCGGCTCGCTCCACAAGCGAGCGGCGACGCAGCCGCCGAGGGCGCACCGCGCGGCTGCAGCCTGGGCCCGGCGGGCGCCGGGCCGCACGCGCCTCCCGCTGCCGCGGCGAGTCGCGTTTGCCATCGCGGGCGTCCTCCTGCGCGACGGGCACTCCCGGCTTGCCATCTGCATCCTCGTCATGTTTGCGTGCTACCTCAGGCCCAGGGGGGCGGCGAAGCTGCGCGGGCGCCACTTGATAGCGCCTTCTGCCTCCGCGGGAACGCTCTACCAGTACTTCGGGCTGCTCCTGCACGAGAGCGGCAAGGACCCAGGCAAGACGGGCGTGAACGACGAGAGCATCCTCTTCGACCGCGAGGGCTGGCTCGCCCCCCTGCTGGCGGCCTTGAAGCTCAGCACCCTGCCCGACCAGCCGTTGTGGGGGGAGACGATCGCGCAGCTGCCGAAGCTCTTCGACAGCGCCTGCCGGGAGCTGTCGCTGGAACGCCTCCGACCACACTTATACAGCTTGCGTCGCGGCGGAGCCTCGGACGACATGCTGTCGCAACGGAGGTCTCTGCCAGAGATTCAGAGGCGCGGACGATGGCGGTCCGCGAAGAGTCTCAACCGCTACACCAAGGAGACAAAGCTGCTGGACGAGCTCGCCTGGATCCCTCCAGCTGCCCTGGAGCTCGGGGCTTTCGTCGAGGACAATTTGATGGCGCTCGTCGAGGGCTCCCTCCCCACGCTGCTGGCGACTGGCCGCGTGCCGGCCGGGGCCGCCGGCCTGCTCGGAGCTCAGGCCGTCGCCCCCCAGCGGGCGCGGAAGCGGCCGGCGGCGGCGCGGTGACGGCCACTGGCGGCGCGGGCGCCGGCGCGGCGGCTGGCGGCCCGGACGCCATCAGGCGGCGCCTGCGGCGGCAGTGCC